ATGGTGCCTAAAAATACACTTTTTTGCGAAAAACCCAGGTTTTTGAGGAACGAAACCTGAAAATCATGTGTATTCTTAACTTTCAGGTATCATAGTATTCGGCTGTGCACTTATCTCAAATTTCGTTTTTCTAACGAAACTTGACATTTTTGAGGGGGGAGGGGCTTAATCAGCATAAAAACATAAAGCAAGCCTATGACTGTTTCGAATGCTTTTGAGATATTTCGAGTTTTATCGAAAATTTTTCTCTGGTACTCATCAGGATTCTAGTGACAAAAAAAGTGAACTTCACCAGAAATGGAAATGGACAGGTGCCAACCGTGTAAACATAATAAATATGTGTGAACAGATTATAATTACTTCTTCATCAAATCTAACTATATTGTATTAGAAGAAATTTTTCGATTTAACTCGAAATATCTAAAATCTATTTAAAACATTCATAGGTTTGTTTGATTTTTTTATACTGATTCAAAATATGATAGTAGTTTTAATTCAATTTCTATTTTTCTAGCTAAAATCAATTAAATATTAATGAAAAACTTGTAATTTATTTTGCGTATTCGAAACTATTTTTGTCAAAACATATCCGCTCAATTTATAAAACTGTTCTTCAAAGTGAGTTCCATTATCCTAGAACACTTTTAGCCCTAGATATATAAATGAAGTTTATTTAATATGCCATTTTGAAATACATTTATCTCTTCTACAAGGATTTTCGAGTATATTTTTAATATTCAGATCTTACGTACTCAATGGTATCAACTTGTTAGAAACTACAAAAAAGTTAATCAAGATTCATCTATTGAATCAGTTGAATTTGGAACATTGAAATCGTCTCATTGGAATAGTCAATCTTCATTTCAGCATAATCGTGAAACAAATACAAAACCTCTCAGTAAAAACAAATCAAGAAATGTTGACTTATTTCAAGAAGTAAATTAAATTTAAACATAAACGTTGTTTCTATATTTATTATTTTATTTAGTTGTTGAAGAATGCAAGCGATTTATTACATGCCATGAACGAACCACATTTATTAACATTTCGTGATATTATTCAATCGATAGTTGTTGATATTGAATCCATACTATCAAATATTAATATAGATGATCCTTCATCTATAAATAATGCAAAAGAAGTGCTGACATCGTTAAAAATAAAATGTATAAGAACATTTCGCCCTAATCGTTTTACGTCAACCATATATCAAATAAATCAAACTACTAAACAGTCATACAGCAAGACAATAAAAGCCATAAATGCTTTAATTGAATATTTTACAAATTATCAAATTCAAACAGTTAAAAATCAAACAAAAAACTTAAATCAGTCATCAGCTTCCTTATCAATAACTGATAAAAAACAATTGACAAATAAAAATTCAATCCAGTCGTTTAAACGAAAGTCAGAAAATTCACATGCTGATAATTATGATCAAAGTGAAATCCTATCATGTTCATCAGTTAAAATTGAAAGTTCATCACAATATACTAAAAATACAAATAAACGAAAATTTAATAAACTTAACTAGATTCAGATACGGTTGTTTATAAACACCCTTTTATTTTTGTTTTGCTGTTTGCAATAAAATTATGAATAAACAAAAAAAATCAAATATATGATATAATATTTTTCTAAGAGATTCCCAATATAAACCTATAATCGCAGATGTTCATTTAGGTTATCAAATTTTTGAAATATTTCTATTTTCCATATTTCACAAATGTAGAGCTCTCAATTAAAATAACTTCTATAGAAAAATGCACATGTTTTGAACAAAGTATCTTCGAGATAGGGAACTTTCAAGATGAAGAATTTATGCTTGTTATCATGTTAAGAAAAAGTAATCGATTGTCTGATTAGCTTGTCATATTAATTTTAATGATAATATCGATTAATTTAAAGAATAAACTTTCTCCTTTAGTGCCATAATAACATTTATCGACAGATATAAAAAAAGTACAGAATACTAACAAAAAAAAAGAGAAAATAAATATATTCTAATTGAAATATAAAAACATGTTATCAATACAAACTAAACTAAAGCAATACAATTTGATGAGAACATCTACATAATAACTTGTATTTATAAACTATCTGTCCATGACATTAAATCATTTTAAGAGTGTGGGTGTGTGTTAAGAGATTTACACCCACACCCACACCCCCATATATTTTCAACCTTGCCAACTTTCTTCTAACTCTACAGACTGCTAATAAAGGACACTGCAAAAAGTTACTTTGCAGCGCAAAGAGTAGAAAAAACGCTGCCAAGCGTTGAGAATAGATACAGACTGGGAGCGGTATAGCGTGATGAGTTTGTAATGATTGCTGTTGTTGCTGAACGTCTGGTGATCTTCCAGAAACAGTTGAAACTCTTGCTTTCTTATGCCTGTTTACAGAAATAGTGCTCACTCGTTCCACTTGCCAACCTCATACAAGCGTTACTCGGTGAAGTCAGAGGGTATGGGGTGTGGGTGTGGGTGTGGCTAGGTGTGTGGGTGTGGGTGTGGGGTGTGTGGGTGTAACAACGATAATACTCACACCCATAACCACACCCACACCCACACCCACCCAAATCTATTTTTTAAATTGTCGATTGACACTATCCATGATTTCACCGTGCGAATTTTGGTTTGGGTGTGGGTGTGGGGTGTGGTTATCAATACAAAATAGACGAACACATGCACCCTCGCATTCATGTCAGCCACACGCCCACACCCACACTCTCAGACTTACTCATTAAATCAAACAAAATTTGGAGTTTTCCTTTTTCTATTAATACGGTTTGCTATGCTCATTATTTCTTTCATTCTATTTTTACGGTTTATTTCTCTTCTGGAATGTATTGAGGGTGGGTGTGGGTGTGGGGTGTGGGTGTGGGTGTGGGTGTAGGTGTGTGTGGGTGTGGGTGTGGGTAGGGTGTGAAGTTGTGAGTTGTGCGGGTGTGGGTGTACGTGTACGTGTGTGGGTGTGCTGTTGGTGTGGGTGTGGGGTGTGGGAGTGGGTGTGGGTGTACGTGTACGTGTGTGGGTGAGGGTATGGGTGTGCTGTTGGTGTGGGTATCGGTGTTCTCTACACAAAAGACCACACCCACACGCACGCACACCACCCTTTATAAACCAACAAAATGAGAAACTAAAACCTCTGAACATTCAAACGATCAGTTTATTCAAGAGCGAACCACACATGAGCATAAAGATCAAATTCATTTTCATTATACATTTCAAAATGGACCACTATTAGGTTTTAAAAAAGAATATCGTAAGATATGGAAAAACTATTATGTTTATCCAGGATCTCGTTTCAGAAATACACGCCTCATTCTTGGTACTTTATTAAATCGAACATTATAAAGTCTTTTAATACATAAGAAGCCTAAACGTGATATGTTGACCAGATTACAACCAATCACAGAAGCAGCTCGTAGAACAATACAAGATCGCCTACGTCAAGGAAATAAATATTTTCTGTTCATCGAAAAAATTTGAAGATATTTTTGGTTGTTTTTCTTCTGTATCTACGATATTTCTTTACATCTTGCATCTTGTTAATTGTTAAACATTGTTACTCACATTTTTTTCTGTTAACTGTGTGAAACGTTATTTACACCATACTTTATTGTATTTGTCATAACTTAAACAGTGATAGTGGACTGTTGAACATATTAACTCGTATCTAAATACAGTCAATATTCATACTAACGCTACATATTTGCTTTCTTTCGTAGTTATTCATTTTGAATTTACAAGTATTTCATTTCTACTTTCCATTCTAGATATACACATATCCATACAGTATCTACGAACAACAATGCTTTCCGTGTAGCAACAGCAATCCAGCAACAGTTATAAGTATTTCAAATTTCTCACAAGAAAATAAAAGCAAATCCCTAATTCAACGTTACCTTCTCATTACCATTTGTTAAGATCTGAAACCAGTCACATTCGAGCTGGCGATACTCCATTACAACAGACCGATCAAACCAATCTACACGACACTACTTCTGATCGAATCTTATCCAATCATATCGTAATTATAAAACAATCGACGACAGCACTGGGAGCAACCAACACCATTGCAACTGAAACTATACAATGACCGACACAGCAACAACATAAAGTCGCCATTATTACACCGGCAGAACGATGAAGACAACAACAACAACCACAAGCATTCCAACAGCAACAAGCTGCACTGTAGTATAAGTATTTCATATAACATCTTCAATCATTTACATTACATTAGTAATTGATAAGTTTAATTTTAGTACTTATCGAAACCGGTCTTACCAGCTATAATGATTGATTTTACTCATTTAAATCATTCGCACCCAACACAATTGGCAAGCAAAAAGTATTGATGCATTAGTTCGTCGAATACGAAGAAAATAAAAAGAACTCGAACCAAATACGTTGCAAGCTATGATTGGACATGTTCGAAAGAAATGACGATCTATGTGGCGTAATGGTTTATATTCCATTTTTTGATATGATTCATTGTACATCAGAAAATGCTTTTTCTAATGAAAATAAAATTATATTCCTATGATGTTCCTAGACAAAACTATTGTTCAATATTTCGGCAATTACTTTTGCACCGCACACTAGTGGCAAGGGTGTGGGTGTGGGTGTCAATATCAATGAATTGAAGACCGGCACCGATACCCACCCGCACCCACACCTACACTCATCCACACCCACACTCACACCCACACTCACACCCACGCTCACACCCACACTCACACCCACACTCATCCACACCCACACCCACACCCACACCCACACCCACACCCACACCCACACCCACACCCACACCCACACCCACACCCACACCCACACCCACACCCTGAAAACATGTTCTTATTGGTTTTCTCGGAACAAAACAAAACATCGAGAATGACAATGAGCAGCAGTAACCGGATGGAAATCCAGTCAAAACTTGGATTATGTGGCAAAGAGTGTACCATCATTGATTTATCTTGAGGGTGACAGCACACCGATCACAGATATACCATCATATAGAAAAGGGTGTGGCTGTGGGGTGTCGGTGTGAGTATGAGTGTGTCCGTTGTCTCTTACCTCACACCCACATCCAGACCCCACAGTCATACACCTACACCTATCCCACACCCAACCCACTAGAGATCAACGGGGTCAAAATTTTTAGCGCCGAAACCCGAAAATATTTTTTATTTCTCTCCGGTCCCGACCCCGAAAAGCCCTATTTTTTTTCTTGTGGATAAGTAACATCTAATATGCATGGCATTATGTTGGGTGTGAGTGGATGTGAGGGTGCGGGTGTGGATGCGAGCAGATGTTCATCTTATCTCAATTCACAATCACAGTCACATTCGCATCCCTACCGGCACATACCCACACCCACATCCACACCCCAAATATTGACAATTAATACAGATGAAAACGATATAAACTGTGCAGAAGTACTGCGTGTTAAAGGAAAAAGAACAAGTTTCGAGTAAATGTCAAAAACACTCTTTAAGACAAGGCATATTCACATCTTTTTGCTAACAAATTTTCTTTAAAATTCGTCATTTTTCTTCGATCAAACGATAAAACTCTATTTTAGTTGTATTTATGTCCTTCTGAAATCAAGAACGTTTTCCAATTGAGTTGTAACTATATCTATCGAGTTCTATTTATAAGTTATTAAGTATTCGGCGATCGCTTGTGCATCATGATAAGTTACGAAAATATGATTTCCATCAGTTGTTGAATCAAAGCCCAAAGGTCGTGTTTTCATCGAACTATTCCCCTTAGTCGTTTTCCCAATCAGAACACGTGAAACAAACATGCATCGTTCTCCATTGGCATTTGGTTTAGTATAACTGTGACTATAGGCTGTATTTGATGAAAAATAGACGCCAGCACCATAAACTATTCCTAGAATAGCAAAGTATTCAAAAGAAATTTTTAAAGAGAAATAAACAAAAATCACCGTTTGCTCCAGCAAAACTTCTATTAAAACAGTCCTCGATAATTGAATTTGCTGCTTCTTCTGAACATCCATGATATAAACGTTTTTCAGTGTCAATATTGAGTCTTCTTTTGAAACCTCGACTATGAGCCAAGTATTGCATAAGCCATCTCTCATTTTGAATGCGTTCAATTTTTATTATTTTAGTATATTTTCCTTTCATTGCGGATTCAAAATTAGAGAAAACCGATTTGTATTCGTCTGTGTCGGTTGACACTACAAATCGCAATTGGTTTCCTGTCGATTGCTCCCATGTTGATGGTAGTTGATATTCGACCGATTTTTTAGTGATTACTAAAATAATTACTATCATTCGAGAAACATTTCTATTAAACGGTCTACTGTTCCATATCATGCTCTGCCCATGCAAATATTTTTTGAATCAAAACGCGTCTGAATCGCGTTTTCTTTGCGTCTAAATCGCAGCAGTCGAACGCGTATAGACGCAGCTCAGATGAAACATTTCTGGCGTTTCGACGCGGTTCGACATTCATTCTTGTTCAGACGCGATTGCTGATAAAATCGAGCCCAGAGGCAAATCAAACTTAAGCCGCGTTTAGACGCGTTATACTCGACATTTAAAATTCCAAAAATGTATTACAATCCATATAAGATTTGATCTGAGCCACCATCGATATTGCCTAACGATATCTTTACCTAACTATAGGCCAACGGAAAGTTTAAATTTTGATGTTTCTGAAATGATAGAAATGAGATTAGAACAAATGAACTAGCGATTATAAATCAAATATACGTGCCATTGAGCCACAGGTGATCACACTAGTTATCGAACGAAACAGAAATTATATATGGGTCGTCTGTTAGAAACCTTACAAATGCATATATCAGTAAAATGGTGTATACATAAAATATTTTAATTATTACTGTATAGGTAAACACATATACTTATCGAAAAAAATGTTGCATTAAATAAATTGAATTACATATTTTTTAAAATTTCTAATTATGCAAACTATTCCTTTTGAAAAACAATTGTTTATATTTTTTCTAAAACTTTATCGCTTCCAATTTTAGAGTACTAAAGTTTCAGAATTGATGACCTAATTCTATTTTATTAAAGAAATACATTTATTCTGTATTTCGTGAGAAAAAAAGACTTATAAATTCCTGAGAACTTCACATTTTTCAAACTAGATTAATTTTATAGGAAAGGACAGGGGCGCATAAGAAGCCGATTTGGCCCATAGGATATTTTCAGTCACTTTATCGCCTATCCTATGTGGAAAAATGTGGTGATTCTTTTGGTAATAATTTCAAGTCAAGCTGTGAGAATTATAAGCTATTTTGAGGGTGAATACCTGCAAAAAAGTATTGAAGTTTCATTGGGCTCATAGTTGTCTAGTATTAGCTCAAAATATACGACTTTTAGACAATGTTTCAAGCTCAATCTATATTGGTTAGAAAGAGCGTTTAATACTGCATCGTTTCATATAAAAACTAATATTCTTTCATTAAAAATTTAATTATGGAAAATACTGTCCTTTCACAGGAGTATTATTCAGTACTTCACATCCGAACAATAATTAGAGCTGTTTTGACATATTTTTACGTGTAAGCCAAGCTCTTTTACATACCAATCGATAGAGCAAAGAAAGAGCTACAAAATGATACATAACTGATTTGATTTCAACATGGGCCACTATATCGAAAGTGTGCATGAATTGTTCTGGAGCATGAAAAGTACACTTTTCTGCTCATTATTGAGTAAATTTGATAAGAATAATTCGACTTTTGATA